GAGGGCCGTGGCCGCTCCCGGCCACCGCAGCCTCCACCTGCTGGGCTCCGGGATCTCTCCGCCTCAGCCTCCCAAGGAGCCGGAACTACAGGCGCGCGCTGCCACGCCCGGCCAAGTTTTTGGATTTATGGTAGAGATGAGGGCTCGCCCGTTTGCCCAGGCGGGTCTCGAACCCGCGGGCTCCCGAGCCCGGCGGCCGTGCGCTTTGGTCTCCGCTCCTCCCCAGGCAGCCAGAGCGCTTGGCGAAATTCAACAGTAGTGCCACCCTGAAGTGGACCTCGAGGGAACACTCCCGGAGCTCAGAACTGATTGTTCAGTCACTAGATAGCCATGTGTTGAGGGAAGACGCCACACTTGAAAATATTTAAGATGGTTTATCCTGAGCCACATGTCACGAGTGACCTTAGACCTCCGAGGCCGTCGTAGGAGGTGCTGAGAATGTGTGCCTTAGCGGTTGAACTGGAGTTTGGTTACGTGCGTTTTAGGAGGACGAGTGACAGAAAACCTTCGATCGATACATGGGGGATTTACGTTGGTTCAGTGGGGAAGGTGGGACATCTGTGGGAGTGGGTGGAAAGATTGTAGGTTTTAGGTAAATCCAAAGGTTTCCTGACTGACAATTTGTAGCAAGAGTTACCTAAGGAATTTTTTAAAAAATAAAGAGTACAGATCGGAAAGGGAAAAAAGTAACTTTGTAGTGAAGAACTTGACACACACAGGGAAAAATATTGGGCTAATTCCACCAGAGGACCATTTTATAAAACACTCTTCCTTGCGCCTCAAAAATGTAAAGGTCATTAAAGTAAAAAATCTGAGAAATTGTACCAATCCAAAGAAGCCTAAGAAGACTAGACAACTAAATGTAATGTGGGATCCCGGATGACATCCTGCAACATAAAAAGGGAATTAGATAAAAACTAAGAAAATATGAATAAAGTATAAACTTCAGTTAATAGTGACGTATCAATATTGATTCATTAATTGTAAAGAATGTATTTCATTAATATTAGGTGAAACTGGGTACCTGGTATACAGAAAAGCTTTTCACTATCTTTGAAAGTTTTGTTTTAATTTAAAAGTATTCTTGGTTGGGTGTGGTGGCTCATGCCTGCAATCCTAGCACTTTGGGAGGCCGAGGTGGGAGGAGTGTGTGAGCACAGGAGTTTGAGACCGGCCTGGAAAGCACAGCATGACCTCACTCTACAAAAAATAAGACAATTAGCTGGGTGCGGTGGCACACACTCAGGAGGCCGAGGTGGAAGAATTGCTTGAGTTGAGGAGCTTGAGGCTGTGGTGAGTTGTGATCATACCACTGTACTCCAGCCTGGGCAATAGAGTGAGACCCTGACTCAAAAAGAAAAAAAAAAATTTTTAATTCCTAAAAAACAAACAGGCTGGCTCAGTGGCTCAGCCTGTAATCCCAGCACTTTGGGAGGCCGAGGCGAGTGGATTGCCTGAGCCCGCGGGTTAGAGACCCACCTGGGCAACTTGGTGAGCCCTCATCTCTATAGGAAATCAAAAGTTAGCTGGGAGTGGTAGCGTATACCTGTAGTTCCGGCTACTTGGAAGACTGAGGCAGAAGGATTGCCGGAGCCCAGCGAGTTGAGGCTGTGGTGGCTGGGAGCGTGCCACTGCACTCCAGTCTGGGTGACAGAGCAAGACTCCAACTCAAAAAAAAAGTCTGAACACCAGGTTAAGCATAGTTCTATTTATTTAAAAAATTGACAGCTCAAGCCGGGCTCGGTGGCTCAGCCTGTAATCCCGCGCCTTTGGGAGCTGAGGTGAGTGGATTGCCTGAGCCCGCGGGTTTGAGACCCGCCTGGGCAGCAAGACCTCATCTCTACAATAAATCAAAAAATAACCCGGGCGTAGTAGCGCACGCCTGTTGTTCCAGCTACTCGGAAGGCTGAGGCGGAAGGATCGCCGGAGCCCAGCAGGTCGAGGCTGCGATGGCCGGGAGCAGCCACTGCACTCCAGTCTGGGCGACAGAGTGAGACTCCAACTCAAAAAAAAAAAAAAAAAATTGACAGCTCAATTTAAAAAGATTAATACAAGTTTGATTCATTTAAACTATTTGACTTATAGTTTTAAATATCTAGGCAAGTGGTATCAAGCCTCCATTTGTATTCTTGTCCAGATTCTGCACCTATTAGGGTGGAGATAAAACAGATAACCTACCAGTGAGAAACAAAACTGACATTTTCAAGAAAATATTTCCATTCAAACCAGAATTGAGCAGTCTCATAAACTTTATTTCAAGACCAAGGGTAAAAGAAAGAAATTTTTATGTAAACAGAAACAGATAACAAACCAACCCTTTACTAAAAGAACCTCTCTGTTGGGTAAGACCGGGGGAGGGTCTGTCATCTGGTGCCATGCAAAAGATGCAATGAATTGCATAGGAATTAGATTGGAAAATATAGTTTATTTTGAAAGTAGTGCTACAGAGATCCCCTAATGTCTGTCCATATTGCCACAGCCCCTAGAGAAGGGCATGACAAGGGTTCCAATGCTCCTGTACATTACTGAACACATTCCTGAGAGCCAATAAAAGTGTGCTTCCCCTTATCTGCTATGCTCTCCCAGTAAGTAGCTCCAAAGGATCCTTCACTTCCCTGCAGACTATGCTCAATAAACTGAGAGAGATATTCCTGAGTTCCCTTATCTCCTATGCACTCCCAGTAAGTAGTTTCAAGGGATCCTTGACTTTCCTGTAGACTATGCCCAATAAACTGAAAGACGTAAATCCCCATTTATTGCTTTTCCTTAGTAGTCATAGGTTTGGATAATATAGTATCAATGTAATCATAAGTCTTGTGATTTGTATAATTTTTGTATCAATGTAATCATATGTTTTGTGATTTGTATAACCTTTGCATACTATATGATGTCTTAGGCCTTGTAAACTCCCTTTACTCTATGGCAAGCTTGATCAAGGCTTCTGCTGGACCTTACTGATAAAAGCTGTCAGATACCTCTGGTATCTGGCAGCAGGAAGTCTGGATAGTGAAATGTCACTATCAGTAAAATATGGCTGTAACTTAAGTTCTATACAATGCTCTGCCGGTCACGTGGCTAATGTATAGATACCAAAAACTCTGGACTTAATAAGAGTGGATTGTAAAGCCTGAAGGGTGAGCATTTTAGAACCATTTTTAAAAGGCACTGAGTCCAGCTCTGCTCCCTGAATTCGAATGTAGAAATAAACTTTTTTCTATCAGTCTTTCTGCCTCTCAGTTTATTGGCCTTGAGGGTTAGCAGCTGAGCATTTACTGGACCATAACAATTTGGCAACCATGAAGGGACTTTGGTGGATGGGATCTTCTGACAGAGATGCCCTGGCAGCTGCCAGAGCCACTTTGGGCTCTGGGGACTCTCTGGAGAGAAGTCTCGCCACTCAGGACCAGCCCTTGAGGAACTGGTAAGAAAGAGGCCTTGCTAGGTATCCAGTCTTGTAAAGTGGGCACGCACTTATTTGGCAGTCCAACCCTGAATGTGCACAGGGAGGTGGGGGAAGCTTTCTCACTTCTGCTCTCCAGGGCCACTTTGTAGGTGCCAGAGGAACGCTGAACCGACATGTTAGTGCGTTTTTGCTTGTTTTTGAATTTGCTAAGACAGCCGGCTGGTTTGCTATACTTTGTTTGATGGGACATGATTAAAACTTGATTTGTGTGCATTCCTTTTATGTCATTTTGTGTCTTCCTAAGTGCTCTTCCCCTTCGTGTGATATTTACATAGGTGGCAAAACCCCTCAGGAGAATAGGGAACGCCACTCTTATGAACCCAGGCTCTGGTCTGAGTCAAAGATAAGAGGCACTCTTCCTAAACAGACTCCCTTAGGTGACACAGGGACTTGTGAAGGTGGCAGGGATCAATTCGATGACGTGTCAGAACCTCCTAAGAACCTCTCCATTCTGGTGATAAAGGACTGTGCAGGCTCGAGAAGGCCCTGCTCTGGGCTTGATCAGCTGCTCAGCGGACCCAAATCCACACCAGATTTTGGAAATGGTGATCAGAGGGTTGGAAAGAGTCCAAGAGGTTGATACCCTGGAGACTGGAAAGGGCTCCCAGTGCTGCTATGGACGGTCCCGTTGGGGGGGCATGCATACTGGCTGATCACCTGGTGCCCCTAAGGGAAAACCGTGACACAGAAGAGGCAGGGCGAGGACTGACGGTGTCATGGCCGACAGAAGACCCCTCCACAAGCAGCACATTTTGATCCAGAACACCTAGTGCTGTCTGGAGGTAGGGATCACTTGCCAGTTCCACCTCATATCGGCACTATTCTCAAACATAAGCCTACTCTGTCTAGTTTCCTACATCTTGCTTCTCCCGACCTGTCAACATTGTTAAAATCCCTGTCTTTTTGTTGTCAAAGATGTGCAAAAGGTGTCCGCTGTGTTTGTGAAATGCTACCGGTTATCTTGAATTCTTCTTTCCCGGGACCACCCCCCCTCCCTTCCTGAGCCTGCATTCTCCTTCATGGATTCTGTGGAAGAGTTCATTCCAATCCACCTGTAAAGGAACATAGAAATCTCTCTTATATG